TTTCTATTATTTTCCTCTATTTCTTTGCACTGTTCATTTAAGAAGGCCCTCTTGTTTCTCCTTGCTATTCTTTAGAAATCTGCATTCAGTTTTCTGTACCTTTCCCTATCTTTCTTGCATTTTGTTTCCCTTCTCTTCTCTGCTATTTGTAAGGCTTTGTTGCACAGCCACTTTGCTTTCTTGCATTTCCTTTTCTTTGTGATGGTTTATGTTGCTGCCTCCTGTACAATGTTATGAGCCTCCATCCATAGGTCTTCAGGCACTCTGTCTACCAAATCGAGTTCCTTAAATCTGTTCTTCACTTGCACTGTGTATTCATAAGGGATTTGGGTTAGATTATACCTGACTAGCCCACTGGTTTTCTTACTTTCTTCAGTTTAAGCTTGAGTTTTAATATAAGAAGCTGATGATCAGAGCCACAATCAGCTCCAGGTCTTGTTTTTGCTTACTGTATAGAGCTTCTCCATCTTTGGCTGCAGAGAACATAATCAATCGGATTTTGGTATTGCCTGTCTGGTGATGTCCATGTGTAGAGTTGCCTCTTGTGTTGTCATTTTCACAGTTGCTTGCATCTTTCATACAGCAAGGAATAATTCTGAGGAACCTCTGGCATAGTAGATGGACAGAGTATTGGAACAGAACTCAGGAGACCTGGGTTCCAGTTCCCACATGGCTGTGGAAATTGAATGGGAGGCGGCAATGATAAAGCACTCCTTGGATACCTCACATGCCTCGAAAACCCTGTTAGGGCTGCCATAAGTTGGGACCAACTTTATAGCACATAACAACAATAACTTCTGCAGTGTGTAGAAGTCCATAGTGTGTAGTGGTTATTTTCAAGCACTGTACATCTTTCAATTGGTGCTTGTGATAGAGGTATTTAGATGTTGTTTCTTCCTTTTGTATGTTTACATCCAGATCTTCATCTGCAGAGGCTTCCCGGACCAGCTAATAAACCAAAGTATAAAAATAACAAATAACTCAAGGATATGATTTAATATCTGTCTAGCACAGAGTGTCTGCTGCTAATTCGTCTGTTTGTTTTATCTCTCACCTTTTGCATGAAAATGGGGCTCAAGGCAGCTCAGAGGAAGATTAATTTCTATCCAATAAAAACACAAAAAATTAATACCAAGATGTAATATGAAACACAAAATTCTGAGGATTTCCCCCTTTTTGGAACAATAATGACCCAATTTCATTGTTTTTGTAGCACATTGTAACTCATTTTGCTTACTGAGACAGTGTTGGCCCCTCATTGCCTGTATCCAAATGAAAGGTAAAAGCTTTATGAAATGTGGGGAATATTTGCAAGTCACAAGCGACCCAAAGCCATGGTAATTGTGAATTATAGATGTTCTGTTGAATCCAAAGACTCAAAATTAAGCTTCACATTTCTTCTAACTTGATCAGGAGATTTCAGCTCTAAGGAAATTTCACTCTGCCATTCAGAATGATGCAGGTTCTGAAAACATACACTCCTTGGTTATATACTAAATTCTTACTATCGCCTTTTATAGGATTACTTCAAAATGCAGTTTTTAAGAAAAAGGAGACAGAAATTGCAGACTGATGATAAAGAAGTTCAGTACCCATTCAGCCTTCAGTTTTATTTGCAACCGCCTACGGAAAATATCTCTTTAATGGAATTTGAAAGTTTTGCTGTTGACAGACTTAAACGTGAGTAAAAATGTTTTCTACTATGGTCAGGAATAGTGAGAAGGCTATATTTCTGTAAACTTCTATATGGAATGTTACTTGAGGTGAACTTTTTCATGGTTAAAGAAAATGCACTCAGATGGTTTGTCATAGCTGTTATTACTCTTTATGCAGGATCGTTACAATGTCTTTCCCAATTGTTAATTTCAATCCGTTCTGCAGACGTTCAGATTTCTATATAATCGGCTTATGCATTTTAAGACTGTTATTGTTTGCTCTTCACAGTACTCAAAGTAGTTGAGAACCTGGGTGTGACTTATGTGAAAGGTAGTAAACAATACAATCAAAAGCTGGAAGCAGAACTTAAGGCCCTTCACTTTCCGTACCATGTAAGTAAAGCTGAATGGAACTCCAAATATAAATGATTTTTTTTTTCATTTACAGGTAAGAGTTCAGGGAGAAGTCCTTTAGAGAGGGAGGGAAATAGATTGAGAAATAGGCATATGCTGGCTGTTACTGGGTTCCTTGTCATGTGGGACCCATTGAGTCTGTATTCCCTGGACTTCCACACATGTTGTTGTTCTCAACATGTACTGGACCTCTCTGGCTTCTGAGACTGCTGCTGCTTAGGCTTTCCTGTGTAGCACGAAAATCAAAGCTCTTTGCAGGTGCAAATTTCACAGCTTGTAGATGCCCACAGCCACATCCAAAGATATTTCCCTCAAATTACTAGCTTGGATGTCAAGGTTCAGAGCCATAGAAGTACCACTGAATTTATTTCTGCGACAGGAAGAAGATTGTTTTCTTCTTTTAAATCAAGATGCACGGTCTGAGCATTCATTGTTTCTAACTAAAACTGGGAGTTTTATCTTTGTTAAACGAAATTGCAGGCCTTGTTTTAAAGGGAAAAACCGACTGCAGTTGGAAGGAAGGTATCCATTACAGGTCCCATAATCTTCCTTCCAACCTGCAGTTCTTGCTTCCCTGAACCCTTACATGCTAAGCAGTTGCCATCGTCCATCCTGTCAGTCTGATGCCCCTTCCCTTAAACTCCCCTGTGCCTGTTCAAGTCGTATCAGCTGAAAATCTCACCACTTCCCCATATTTCCACTTTCTCCCCTCCTATGACTGCACATGGTGTTAACAGATCCTATAACCAAAGCCATGAATGACAAAGCATTAGAGCTGCTCAGGACCTTTGTAGGATGTGGCAGGCTGCTGTGTCCTGCATGGGGAACACCAGAAGGGTCTGGTCTTTGGAGGGCTAGATAGTCCCACCTTTAATCAGCTTGCAGTCAGTTTTAATACTGAAACTTTATGATGATGATGTTCCCCCCCCCTTCTTTGGTAACCCACATTAGATTTATTTTATAAATAAAAATGGGATATAAGTTTAATGTAAACAGATTAAATAATGCCACTGGGTAGTTAGCCAAATGATCTTCCCATGGCAGGGAATTCTTTAGCCTTACGGTGTAATTGCAAGTTGGGTGTGGTGGGAAACATGGTTTTGCATTTGGCTCTTTCTCAGCGCCACCGCCACTATAGGGTAGCTGTTGCCAGTTGGTGAAAGTTAGGGGGAAAGAGTTTGCAAGACTGAGGTGTGTGCCTAATTCTGGGCTATAGAAGCACCGCTCTCTCTCCTCAAAATTGTTCTTACAAGTATTCAAAACGTTGTGATTGTAATGAATGAAATCTGGTGGGCAATTCATGCACTGGGTCTTCTCTTTCATCATCTTCTCCCTGAAAAGACCAGATGGTGGGAGGGACTTAAGAAATGTTGCGGGCTGTGTCCCAAGGGACTTCAGTAGGAGGAGGAATTTTCCTGCCTGGGGTGGCAGAATCTCACAGTGCTCACCAAGTGCTTTGGTTCCAGTGCTTTCTCTAGGAAGCTTTGGGAAAAGGAGGGAAGGCGGTGGTATTTGAACCTGCTTTCTGCTCGCTTAGTGTTGGAGATCCCATGAGAACATGATACACTAAGTGCTATCTTGATTTTGTTTTGTATGTTGATTTTTTGTTAATTTGTTTTGTTTTCTTCTTAGGCTTTGATTCAAGAGGATCATGAGAGAAGAAGAAAAGATCATATTTCTCATTTCATACTGCGACTTGCTTACTGCCAAACGTAGGTATTGTTTGCCCAGTTATTGTGAAGTTCTGCATATATGCTGCCTTCAGGAAGTTTTGAATATCTGTAAATGGGTATTCATGAGCATTAATTGAACCACATCCCAAGAAATATAGAACAATCTGGTTCTTGAAATGGTGCTCTTTTGAGTTTGAAGATCATTTCAGATGTTGTATTAATCAACAGTTAAAAGAAGTCCATTTCGGAGGACAAATTAACAAACCCATTAGTTGCAACCATAATTTCATCTCCAGAGGCTACCAGACCATGGAAGAGGGCATGAATGTGCGATCCTGAGTTCTGAGATAAGGGTGAAGCCAAAGCAGATGAGTGACTACAAGTCATGGTTCACAGCAGAGGAATTCAAAGAAAATAAAAGTGGGACAACAGTGCATTTTTAATGTCTACTTATTTTTGTCCAAACCCAATGTTTTGGAGGTGATTCCTCCTCCAAGAACTACCTGCAATACTCAAACCAGGTGCTTGATACTGCATGTGTATCACTTCTGTTTAGAGTTGGGGGTATTTGTATTCGTATATTAATATGAATATCCTCACACAGCTGGACTTAATGAACGAGCTGGACCATCCGCTCACACATCCACTGCCGGCGGCTTCGCTCCTCCTTCCAATCGCTCCTGAAGTGCCACTCTCTTCCTGCTTGGCTAGCTACTCTTCGGCTAGCTACTCTAGGCAGAGGAAGGGAGGACAAGTTTCCCTGCACGGCTGCCAAGTCATTAGCCAAGTGGGAAGAAAGTGGCGCTCCAGGAGTGATTGGAAGGATGATAGGCAGGGGAAGGGAAGATAAGTTTCCCTGCACAGCTGCCAAGTCACTAGCCAAGTGGGAAGAGAGTGGTGCTGCAGAAGAGATTGGAAGGATGAGCGAGGCCACTGCCGGATGCCTGAGTGGACAGTCCGGCCCCAGGGGCTGGACCCTCATTAAGTCCAGCTGCTTGGGGATATATGAATACCCCCATCTCTACTTCGGTTTTCTAAGGAAGCCATCGTTTGTTTATTTTGCATGTTGAAGCTCAAACTATAATTCAAGTTATAAATTATGGTTAATAGTAGAGATATGCTGAGATGTCTGAATTGAGCATGCCTGAGTGGACGGTCCGGCCCCAGGGGCTGGACCCTCATTAAGTCCAGCTGCTTGGGGATATATGAATACCCCCATCTCTACTTCGGTTTTCTAAGTAAGCCATCGTTTGTTTATTTTGCATGTTGAAGCTCAAACTATAATTCAAGTTATAAATTATGGTTAATAGTAGAGATATGCTGAGATGTCTGAATTGAGCCTGTCTTGCTCTTAGAAGTGGGACAGGTGAGCCTAAGTTACATTTGCTTGCAAAACTTTTATATGGTGTTTTTCTTTCTTGAGGGAAAAAATCAAAACAGTAATTAAAGGACATTACAAATGGTTGTGGTATTGTACTTAAATCATTGGAAATTTATAAATCAGTAGAGGCATGAATAATTCTTGAAGGGACTAGCTATTACAAAGTGGCTTTTTAGGAAGCATGTTAACTTTCCGTTCGTCATGAGAACCCAAGTCCTTTGAAGGATTTGGGCTTATAATATTTCAGTCAATGTTAATTGAGCTCTCACTGGGATGTAGTACAAAGTTCTAGATCTGTTTTAATTATGCTTCTTTTTGACGTTTTTAAGGAGATGTATTATATCAATTCTTGTCTTATATAGTCTTGGTGGATGGTTCTCAACTAATTAAAGTTAAGACTGTCATTTTATTATTTGGTGGCTCTGAGAGCAGAATTGAAACATTCTCTGCTAAAGATGGTTCAATAGTGCCATCGTGTGGCAAAAACTTGTTTTGTCACTCTCAATTTCTTTCTGGTTGTACCTTGGCTTTACAGTAAGGCATTTGTCATTAACTCGTTTGTCCATGAAAGAAAAGGTAAATGGTTGCTTGTCATAAGCTTAGTACTTTCCTTTGGTTGTCCATGAATCATTCATGTATATAATGCATGTACAGTTAAAGAAAATGTTTAAGAAATCTTTTAAAAAGTACATTATGTTTGTATATTTTAAAGGATTTGTTGTTCTCTGCTGCAAAGTTGACTCGGACTTCAAGTATGACTAAGATGGGAGGTAGTTCTGTGTGTGGTGTTAGGCTCCGCTACTTAGTTCTCCACATGAGGCTAGCTTCCTAATGTAAGTGTGTTCACTTCTTTGCAGGCCACATGGGTTTCAATAGAATTTGCTTCACATGTGGACATACATATGGTAGGGCCCTGGGTTCAACTTAAAAATATTGGCAGTAGGTTGGGGGAGAAGCAGGAGTAAAACAGACAATTGGTTAGGTGTGCCTTGATCATGTTGGTATGTCCTGCTCATATAGAACTGTCCAGGTAATGGCTTCATCATTTGAGTAGTACAGTGGTGCCTCGCAAGACAAATGCCTCGCAGGACAAAAAACTCGCAAGACAAATGGCTTTGGCAATGGGGGTTGATGACCCACAAGACAAATGTTCCTATAACCGTGCTTCGCAAGAAGAATGTTTTCCGTTTTTTGTTCCTGCCTCATGTTTGCTGATTTTAAAATGTTTTTCTATGATGTTTAAAAAGTTAAAGTTTTTTGACTGAATTTTTTAAAAATCTTGTGCACAATATGTATGGCTTTAAAGAGCACTTAATAAACCCTTTGTAAACCAAATTTGACTTTGTTCTGACTTTTTTTGCCCATAGGAACGCATTAATTAGATTTCAATGCATTCCTATGGGAAAATGCGTTTTGCAAGATGAATTTTTCGTAAGATGACATTAATTGCGGAATGAATTAAATTCGTCTTGTGAGGCACCACTGTACTATTAAGAGGAAAACTGTCAGGACAGGCTGAATTGGGTACCCAGCTAAGGACCCAGAGGTTAGGAGTTTGATCCCTGCTTGTGCCTCCTGTGAGAAAAGCCGGCCTGTGTGGCCTTGAGCAAAGAGCAGAGTCCTCGAGCATTGTCAGAAGATAATGGTGAACCACTTTTAAGTTGTAAGTAGACAACTCTATACCTAGGAAATTCTGGAAAGGAATGAATCAGAATCACCTTGATATAATTATGGAGAGGAAAACAGATATTTGATGATTACATAGTTTTAAGGCAGTGATTACATAGTTTTTCAGCCAAGTTACTGGCAACACCTGAAGACCACTTGACAATTTGTAGGTGTAGAAATCTTTCTGCCTGCTTACGAGTTTTGACTAGAACTGTTTAGCTTTTTTCAAACTAACATGTATGTGTATAAAATGTTGAAAATCATTATACATTTCTGAAGATCTTGAGGCTCAGAGCTACTGGAAAATGTTATGTTGGCTTAAAAGGCAATGTTTATATTCATTGGTATACAGTCATGTGAAAAAGAAACGACACCTTCTTTGAATTCTGTGGTTTTACATATCAGGACATAATAAAAATCATCTGGTCCTTAGCAGGTCTGAAAATTTGGTAAATACCACCTCAGATGAACAACAGCACATGACATATTGTACCATGTCATGCTTTATTTATTTAATAAAAACAAAGCCAAAATGGAGAAGACGTGTGTGAAAAACTATGTGCACCTTATGATTCAACAGCTTGTAGAACTACCTTTAGCAGCAATAGCTCAAAGTAATTGTTTTCTGTATGACTTTATCAGTCTCTCAAATTGTTGTGGAGGAATTTTGGCCTGCTCTTCCTTACAACATGGTTTCAGTTCACTGAGGTTTGTGGACATTTGTTTATGCACAGCTGTTGCAAGCATTCAGTTGGGTTGAGATCTGGACTTTGACTGGGCCATTGCAACACCTTGATTCTCTTCTTTTTCAGCCATTTTGTTGTAGATTGGCTGATGTGGTTGGGATCATTGTCCTGTTGCATGACCCAATTTTGGCCAAGCTTTAGATGTCAGATGGATGGCCTCACATTAAACTCTAGAATACTTCGGTATACAGAAGAATTTATGGTCAACTCAATGACAGCAAAGTGTCCAGGTGGCTGCAAAATAAGCCCAAATCATCATCCCTCCACTACCGTGGTTGACAGTTGGTATGAGGCGTCTATGCTGATATGCTGTGTTTGATGGCGCTGTGCATTATGGCCAGACATCTTCACTTTGGTCTTATCTGTCCAAAGGACATTGTTCCAGAAGTTTAGTGGTTTATCCAGATGGAACTTGGCAAGCCTATGCCATGCTGCCATGTTCTTTCTAGAGAGAAGAGGCTTTCTCTTGCCAGTCCTTCCAAACCAACCATACTCGTTCAGGCCTCTTCTAATTGTACAGTCTTGAACGTTAACATTTAAAGTGCTAAACGAGGCCTATTGAGTCTGAGATGTAACTCTTGAGTTTTTGGTGAGGCCTATTGAGTCTGAGATGTAACTCCTGAGTTTTTGGCAGTTTCTCTGAGCATGGGGTGACCTCGGGGTGAATTTGCTTGGATGTCCATCCCAGGGTAGATTGGCAACTGTCTTAAATGTTTTCCACTTGTGAATCTTCCTCACTGTCAAATGATGGACTTTAAATTCTTTGGAAATGAAATGGCCTTCCTTTCCAGATTGATGGGCAATAACAGTTGCTTCTCTACAATCCTCGCCGATGTATTTCCTCCTTGGCATTGTGTTAACACGTACCTGAATCCGCGAACTGCTAAAACCTCAGCTTTTTTAAAGAGGTGGTCACATTTGCTGATCAGTTAGTGACTCAAGGGCATTTGATTAGCTGTACCTGGCTGCTTCTTAAGCTCTTAATTCCTAGGGAAGCAGTAAGAGTGTATTTGGTTTTTCACACATGGCTTCTCCATTTTGATTTTATTTTTGTAAAATAAGGCATGACTCAATGTAATATGTTATTTGTTGTTCATCTGAGGTTGCACTTAACTAATTTCAGATCTACCGAGGACCATTGATGAAGATATGCCCAGATCCTTTCAGCTGATTTTTATTATGTCCTGATACATAAAACCATAGAATTCAAAGAGGATGTCCTTTCTTTTTCACATGACTGTATTTTTGATAGAGTAAAAGTCTAAATTCAGTCTAATACTGACGCTAGAGTGGCAACATTATAGAATACCATTGCTTTCCTCTTCTCACCCCACAGCTCTTGGAAGTGTCCAGATACCAATTCCAGGTTTTTTTTTCCAACCCTATGCAGCAGATGTTTGAGACACAAGGGGCTGCAGTGGGAGGAAAAGATGGGCTTCCTTGAACTTCCAGTCAATTCTTTTGTTCTTTCAATAAAAGTCCAGTGTTGTTCCCTTTCTGTCCTGAATTTCAGTCATTTATACATTTTGTCCACCATGGCCCATATTCAGTGGACTGGTAATTTAGTGTAGCATGATATATTTTGTGTTCTTGATCTAGCCACGGGCCGAGGTCAAACATAGGTTAATTGCATCTGGACATAGTCTTCCATTGATGTTTACAGAAGGGATTGAGATGCACCTGAGACACCCTCTGATTTATCTTTTTTTTTGAGGGGGGGGGCTACAGTAGGAAGAATTGAAAAATCTCCCTGCCTTGATTTCTGCAGAAGTTTCTTATGAGTAATAATTGTACCCATAGGGATTCTGGACCCAACTCAGTGTTGAATTTAGTTATTAGGATCTCAGGAAAGTGTGCAAACTTGACATGGCTGTTGAGAATGACACCACTCTAGTCAAGAATGGAAGACTACTAAAACTATATATCAGGTTTAGTAATTTCTGTGCTGTCATCTTAATGCATCAGCTTCTCCTGGTGCAGTGGTTCAGCACTAGGAGAACTGAAATGGAAAAAGAAATTACTGATGTGCAGTAGAACCCTTATCCATAGGATCAGTATCCACTGATTCACTTATCCACTGT